TTTTTTTTTGAGACAGAGTCTCACTCTGTCATCCAGGTTGGAGTGCAGTGGTGTGATCTCAGCTCACTGCAACCTCTGCCTCCTGGATTCAAGCAATTGTTCTGCCTCAGCCTCCCAAGTAGCTGAGATTACAGGCACATACCACCATGCCCGGCTAATTTTCATATTTTTAGTAGAAATGGGGTTTCATCATACTGGCCAGGCTGGTCTTGAACTCCCGACCTCGTGATCCACTGTCCTCGCCCTCCCAAAGTGCTGGGATTACAGGCGTGAGCCACCACGCCTGGCAGAAGTCTCAGTTTCACTGTAAGGTTTGCTAAGGATGAAAGGATCTTCTCTCTGCATGAGGCTGAGGCAGTTACAAAGAGGTTTAAGATAGTGCTGGTGCTGCAGACGGGAACAGAACCCACACCTGGCCCTGCCACTCAGCAGCAGTGTGACTTTGGGCAGGTGGCTTGGCCTCCTTGAGCCTCAGTTTCTGAGCGAAAGTAGGGTACTTCCCAGGGCTGTTGGGAGGCTGTGCAGTTAGCTGAGTACCTAGTTACAGTCCCTGAATCTGGGCAAAAACCACTGCAGTTGGGTCTCAAACCATTGCCCCAATGCTGGAAAAAGACCCCCGCCCAGCCCCCAGGGCAAGGAGCCAGGGGCGACACGGTCCAGAGACAGCACAGGCCACGGTTCAAGCCCAGCCTTCTGGTGGCACTCCGCTCAGACTCAACTTGTCATTCAGCATCTCTGTGCTCCCGGCCAGGGCAGTTAGCTTCTCTGAACCTCAGCATCTGTATCTGTAAAATGGGAGAGCAAATGAGCCAGTCCATGTACAGTGCTTAGCTAGTGCCTGGTGCTGAGTAAGCACTTAATACGCAGTGACTGTGTTATCATTAGGACTCTCTCAGATCAGACTCTGTGTGCTACAATTCAATCACATTTTGTTTCTTTGTATTTATTTTTACAGTTACTTTCTATTTATGGCAAGTGATAGATACTGCCTCTCCACTTAAAGATGCTGTATCAAGTTTCCTTTTAAGATACATTTATCTAAGTGAAAATGGGTCAATCCACGGAAGAAAACAGAAGTGCAGGAATAGTGCAGGTGTGCACAGATGGGTGAGACGCTGGGAAGGTGCGAGGCAGAGACTGGAGCCTGGGGAGCACCCAGGCAATAGAAAGACAGTCAGGCCCAAGGGCGCCCCACACCCACCCCAAGGTCGTTCCACCCCAAGGTCGTTCTGAGGCCAGCAACAGTGCTGGTGACCCCGTTGACCTTGGAGCCTGCCCTTCCCCACCTTCAGGGTTCTCCCTGGACCCACCACCTTGTCTCAGGCGGAAGTCCCCACCCTCGCTGATGACTGTCCCCAAACAAAAGCGGGAGGGAGAGCCGCCACTGCCCCCTGCCCGCCGGCCTGGGGTGTCTGGGACCCAGGAGCGACCTGCGGCTGGGAGTCCTGGGGCGGCCAGAGCCCGCGGGGCCTGGGGCTGGTGGAGGGGAACGGTAAGTGGGGGCGG